GGGGGGACCGGAACGGGGGGGGCACTGCGGGGCGTGCGGGGAACGGGGGGAGGGGGGAGGAACGCGCACCTGAGTGCGGGCACCGGGGGGGGGCGAGGGGGGAGGGGCTGCCCCTCACTGTGCGTGTCGTCACCCCCCCCCCAATCCCTGCGTCCCCGCGCTGCCCCTCAGCCTCGTGTGTGCCTCCTGTATTCCCATATTCCTATATCCCGTATATCCCCATATATCCCATATATCCCTATATATCCCATATCCCCATATCCCCATATATCCCCATATATCCCCAAATATCCCCATATATCCCATATCCCCATATATTCCCATATATACCCATATCCCCATATCCCATATATCCCCATATATCCCCATATGTACCCATATATACCCATATCCCCATATCCCTATATATCCCCATATCCCCATATATCCCCATATCCCATATATCCCCATATATCCCATATCCCCATATATTCCCATATATACCCATATATCCCCATATTCCCATATCCCCATATCCCTATATATCCCCATATATCCCCATATATCCCCATACCCCCAATATATCCCCATATATCCCCATATCCCCATATATCCCCATATTCCCATATGCCCATATCCCCACATGTCCCCATATATCCCATATCCCTACATGTCCCCCTATATCCCCATATCTCCCCATATATTCCCATGCATCCCCACATCCCCATACATCCCATATCCCCATATCCCTATATATCCCCATATATCCCCATATATCCCCACATCCCCATATCTCCCTGTGTGCCCATATCTCCCCATATATATCCCATAGAACCCCATATCCCCATATCCCCATTTATCCCATATTCCTATATCTCCCTGTGTCTCCATATCCCCATATATCCCCATATCCCCATATCCCCATATATCCCAGTGTTCCCATATCCCCATATATCCTCATATATCCCATATCCCCATATATCCCCATGTATCCCCATATATCCCCATATATCCCATATCCCCATATATCCCCATATGTCCCCATATATCCCCATACCCCCATATCCCTGTGCCCCCATGCCCTCATAGCCCCATTTCCCCAGTGTCACCGTGTCCCTGTATCCCTGTATCCCTGTGTCCCCACATCACTGTATCCCCATGTTCCCATATCCACGTGTCCCCATATCCCCGTATCCCCGCATCCCCATATCCCCACACGCCCTTATCCTCACTTCCTTACATCCTCACATCCCCATGATCCTATATCCCTATGTCCCCATATGCCCGTATCCTTCCAGCCCCAAATCCCCATATCCCCGTGTTGCTGTCCCCCTGTATCCCCCTGTATCCCCCTGTATCCCCCTGTATCCCCCTGTATCCCCACATCCCCTCTATGTTCACACCCCCAACGTCCCCATTTCCACCCCATGGTCGGGGTCACCCAAAGGCTCTGCCCCCAAGACCTGGGGTTGCCCCATTTGGGTTGGGGGTGACGCAGGCTCTGTCCCCACCACCCCGCAGCTCTGGCGGCCGCCTCCCCAAGCGGGGACGAGTGTGCAGAGGAGGAGGAGGATGAGCTGGAGCCGGGGCTGGATGAGGCTGAGCCGGAGCCTGAGAGTGGGGCCAGGGCAGCAGGGGGGTCCCGGGGGGCCGTGCTCACACGTCGGGGCATCACTCTGCGTGTGCTGCTGCGTGATGGGCTCCTGGATCCGGGACGTGGGGTCCTCTCCATCTATTATCTGGTGAGGGCGGTGGGGACGGGGTGGGGATGGGGATGTGGGGGTGGGGACGGGGATGGGGACGTGGATTTTGGGTGTGGATTGAGACATGGTGATAGGGACATGGATGGGGACACTGATGGGGACATGTTGATGGGGACATTGATGAGGACGTGGAACATGGTGGGGACGTTGGTGTGGGTATGGATGGGGACATGGTAATGGGGACATGGATGGAGACATGGAGATGGGGTCATGGATGGGGACATTGAATGGGACACTGATGGGGATGGGGATGTAGACATGGGTGGGGACATGAGATGGGGATATTGCTGAGGATGTGGGACGTGGATGGAGACATGGATGGGGACATGGGACATGGATGGGAACATGATGGGGATATAGATGTTGGGTATGGATTGAGACATGGTGTTAGGGACATGTATGGGGACATGGAGATGGGGACATGGATGGGGACATTGGTGTGGGTATGGATGGAGACATGGTGATAAGGACATGGGTGGGGACACGTATGAGGACACAGCTGGGGACATGGATGGGGACATTGATGAGGACGTGGAACATGGATGGGAACATGGGTGGGGACGTTGGTGTGGGTATGGATGGGGACGTGGTGATGGGGACATGGTTGGAGACGGATGGGGATATGGATGGGGACATTGAATGGGACACTGATGGGGATGTGGATGTAGACATGGGTGGGGACATGATGGGGATATTGATGTTGGGTATGGATTGAGACATGGTGTTAGGGACATGTATGGGGACATGGCAGTGGGGACATGGATGGGGACATTGGTGTGGGTATGGATGGAGACATGGTGATAAGGACATGGATGGGGACACGGATGGGGGGACAGTTGGGGACATGGATGGGGACATGGATGGGGACATTGATGAGGACATGGAACATGGATGGGAACATGAGTGGGGAGGTTGGTGTGGGTATGGATGGGGACATGGTGATGGGGACATTGATGGAGACATGGATGGGGACATGGATGGGGACATTGAATGGGACACTGATGGGGATGTGGATGTAGACATGGGTGGGGACATGAGATGGGGATATTGCTGAGGACGTGGGGACGTGGATGGAGATATGGATGGGGACATGGGACATGGATGGGAACACGATTGGGATATAGATGTTGGGTATGGATTGAGACATGGTGATAAGGACACGTATGGGGACATGGCAGTGGGGACATGGATGGGGACATTGGTGTGGATATGGATGGAGACATGGTGATAAGGACATGGTTGGGGACATGGATGAGGAACACAGTTGGAGACAGGGATGGGGACATGGAGATGAGGTCATGGATGGGGACGTGATTCTGTGACATGTATGGGGACGTGGCAGTGGGGCTGTGGATGAAAATGTAGGTGGGGAAATGAATGGGGACATGGAGATAGGGACATGGATGGGAATGTGGTGGTGGGGACATGGATGAGGACATGGCAGTGGGGATGATGGTGGGGACATGGATGGAGGCATGGTGATGGGGACGTGATTGGGGATATTGATAAGAACAAGGGTGGGGATATGGATGGGGACATGGATGAGGACGGGGACATGGCAGTGGGGACACTGATGAGAACATGGGACATGGGTGGGGACATGGCAATGGAAGTGGGGTCATGGTTGGGGACATGACTACATGATTCTATGACATGGATGGGGACATGGCAGTGGGGCCATGGATGAGGAAATGGATGGGAAATGAATGGGAAATGAATGGGGACAATGGTGATGGGGACATGGGTGAGGACACGGATGGAGACATGGCAATGGGGACATGGATGGGGACATTGGTGTGGATATGGATGGAGACATGGTGATAAGGACATGGATGGGGGCACGGATGAGGACACGGTTGGGGACAGGGATGGGGACGCGGATGGGGAGGGACATGGATGGGGGCATTATTGGGGACATGGTTGAGGACATGGATGGGGACATGGATGGGGACATGGATGGGGACATGAGTGAGGGCATGGATGGAGACACAGATGGGGACACAGGTGGGGACAGGGATGGGGACGCAGATGGGGACATGAGTGAGGGCATGGATGGGGACACAGATGGGGACATAGATGGGGACATGGTTGAGGACAGGGATGGCGACACAGTTGGGGACATGGTTGGGGACATTGATGGGGACATGAGTGAGGGCATGGATGGAGACACGGATGGGGACACAGATGGGGACAGGGATGGGGACATGAGTGAGGGCATGGATGGGGACATGGATGGAGACATGGATGGGGACATGGATGGGGACACAGATGGGGACATGGTTGGGGACATGGATGCGGACATGAGTGAGGGCATGGATGGAGACACGGATGGGGACAGGGATGGGGACATGAGTGAGGGCATGGATGGGGACACGGATGGGGACATGGTTGGGGATGTGACTGGGGACACAGGTGGGGGCACGGATGGGGACACGGTCCATATCAGCCCTCCCCGCTCCTCCCAGGGCAAGAAGTTCGTGGGGGACCTGGGTGCAGACGGGGCCATCACGTGGCAGGAGACGGGGCAGGTGTTCGGCTCACCCAGCGCCTGGGCCACGCACTGCAAGCGCCTGGTGAACCCTGCCAAGAAGTCGGGCTGCGGGTGGGCGTCCGTGCGCTACAAGGGGCAGCGCCTGGACCAGTACAAGGCTGCGTGGCTGCGGCGGCACCAGCCCCATGCGCCCAGTGATGAGGTGGGAACCCAGAGGTGTCCCCAAGGAGGGGCCTGGGGTGTCCCCATGGGTGTCCCTGAGGAGGGGTCTCGGGGTTCCTCTCCGAGGAGGTCCATTGGGGTGTCCCCAGTGAGGTGCCTCGGGTTCTGGTTGGTGTCCCCAGGGACAGACCTGGGGTGTAGTCATGGGTGTCCCCAAGCAGGTGCTATGGGGATTGGGGAGGGGTCTCAAGGGGTCCCTGTGGGTGTCCTCAAGGTGAAGTCATGGGGTATCCCAGGGGCTGGGGTATCTCCATGGAGGTGCATCAGGTCTTCATGGATGTCCCCAAGGAAAGGCCTGGGGTGTCCCCATAGATGTCCCCACAGGTGTCCCCATGGAGGTCCTTTGGGTGTCCCCAGGGAGATGCCTAAGGTCTCCATGATGTCCCCACGGAGATGCCTCAGATCCCCATTGGTGTACCTGAGAGTGGGCCTGGGATGCCCCCCTTGGTGTCCCCAAGGAAATGCCTTGAGCCTCAGGGTGCTCCCACGGGTGTCACAAGGAGGAGCCTTGTGGGGGCTCCCATCCATGTCACCAAGGAGGTTCCCTGTGGGGCCCTGGGGTGGGCACGGCTCTCAGCCCCTCCTGGTGCTCTGCCCCAGGCTCTGCCCAGTGAGGGCGAGGAGGATGAGCTGCCCGAGGAGGAAGAGGAGGAGGCTGGGGACGGCCGAACGCCCGCAGCAGAGCCAGCAGCCAGCAAGAGAACGGAGGAGAAAAGCAAGAAGCTGCCGGGCCGCAGTACAGCAGAGCAGGGTGAGGGGTAACGGGGGTTGGAACGGGGTTGCAGTGAGTGGCCATGGGATTATGGTGTAGTGATGGGGCTGTGATGGTGGTACTGCTGTACAGAGCCCATCCCCCCGGGGAAGAGGCCGGAGAGCAAAGCCCGGGCACCCGTCCGCTACTGCATGCTGGGCACACGGGATGCAGCCAGGTAGGGACCCCCGCCATCACCTCGGTCAGCCCTCGGGGTGGGGAGGGCCGGGGGGAGCGGGGCTGTGTCTGTTGCAGGAACCCACAGACCCTGGTGGAGGTGACGTCCTTCGCCGCCATTAACAAGTTCCAGCCCTTCAACGTGGCCATCTCCAGCAACGTCCTCCTGCTGCTGGTGCGTCCCCTCCCCTGTTGGGATTTTAGGATCGCTTTTAGGATTCCCTCGGCGCATTCCCTTTTCCTTTAGGATTTCCACAGCCACCTGACGCGCAGTGAAGTTGTGGGCTACCTGGGGGGCCGCTGGGACACCAACACGCAGCGTAGGCAATGGGGGACAGGGGGGAGCAGCCCCTGGCACAGCCACCCACCCCCACGTCCCCGCAGTGCTGACGGTGCTGCGCGCGTTCCCGTGCCGGAGCCGCCTGGGCGATGCTGAGGCTGCGGGTGCTGTGGAGGAGGAGGTAATGGCCCTCGGGTGCCCCCCACACCTCTGGTGAGGTGGGGTGGGGGTCTGATGTTATCCACACATCCCAGATCTGCCAGAGCCTGTTCCTGCGGGGGCTGTCGTTGGTGGGTTGGTACCACAGCCACCCCTTCGGCCCCGCGCTGCCCTCCCTGCACGACATCGACGCGCAGATGGATTACCAGCTCAAACTGCAGGGCAGTGGCAACGGCTTCCAGCCCTGCCTGGCCCTCATCTGCGGTAAGCACCCACCCCTGGGGGGGGCACAGAGCTGCAGCCCCCCCACATCAGCGCCATCTCTCCTCCCAGGGCCGTACTATGCTGGTAACCCTGGTGTGGAGTCCAAGATTGCGCCCTTCTGGGTGATGCCACCACCTGAGGTGAGCGGCTCCCATCGCCTCCTCGGGGGTCCCAGTGCAGTGCCGGATGGGTGACCCCATAGGTGACCCCATAGGGTGATCCCACTCCCCTCTCATCCAGCAACGGCCCAACGACTACGGCATCCCCATGGATGTGGAGGTGGCCTACATCCAGGATGGCTTCCTCACCAACGACGTCCTGCAGGAGATGGTGAGCGTGGGGCAGGAGCTGTCATTGAATCACAGAATGGCCTGGGTTGCAAAGGAGCACAATGCCCATCCAGTTCCAACCCCCTGCTGTGTGCAGGTCCCCAACCAGCAGCCCAGGCTGCCCAGAGCCACATCCAGCCTGGCCTTGAATGCCTGCAGGGCTGGGGCATCCACAGCCTCCTTGGGCAACCTGTTCCAGTGCCTCACCACCCTCTCACCCCCAAACCTAGGCTGTGTCCCTGCCACCCATCCCAGCCTTGGGGACAATCTCTCCTCTATCCTTGTTTGCTCTGGGGGTCTGGGGAAGGAGCACTCAGCCCCAGTGCAGCCCCCTGCCCTCCATCCCCAGACACTGCTGGTGGAGTTCTACAAAGGAGCCCCGGACCTGGTGAAGTTCCAGGAGCTGTGGAGCCAGGACCAGACCTACCTGGATAAGCTGAAGGTGGGCAGAGAGCTTTCTGCGAGTTCAGCTCTACCCACCCCACACCTCCCACGAGCTGATCATTGGGTTTTACTCCACCCCGGTGCAGAGCAAAGCAGAGGGCACAGGGTGAGCCCAGCGACCAGAGCTGCCTTCCTCTCCACAGGGCTCCCTGGCCTCTCGCAGCCCCAAGGACCAGAGCTTTGCCCACATCCTGGAGCAGATCTACGGCCTGCTGAGGCACAGCAGCTGAGCAGGAGCTGCAATGGGGAGCAGGGGCTGCGAGCAGCACTGCAGGGATGCAGCATTGCCTGCTGCGCCTAGGAAGCCGACGGAAGGAGCAGAGCCAGCAGCTGGGGGCGCAGGGCAGCAGGGGACTCGTGGGAGCCCAACACTTACTGAAGTGTAACAAAGCACAGAGAAATAAATGAGGAAACAGTCTCACCTCTTTCACACACACAGACGTGCACGCGTCCCTCTGTCCCAGAACTGCCCTCAGAGCTGAAAGCAGAACTTCTCGATTCCACGCCCACGCTGCCAAAGACCACGGGAAGAAGGAACCGTTTGTTCACCATCAACTGCTTTTATTGTTCTGGAAAAATGGAATGTTTCACTAACAGAAACTTCAATGCCGACCAAGAACACGTTCATAACAAAGAAAGGAAACCAATCAGCTGAACTGATAGAGCGTTTGGCTACGATGTGGCAGCAGTCTTGCTTTTTCGTCATCACAAATTCAAGTTGCTTAATAAAACTCACCACCATTGTCATTTTGTATTAAAAAATATATATTTATGTCTATAGATCTGTGTATTAAAGCGCTCTCAGTAGCGGCGGGCGAAGCGCGGCTCGGTCGCTCTGTGTCCCCGCTCCTGGCCTGCAAACCCCCCCTGCACTGCAGCACTTGGTGCCACCTGGCTGTGGTTTGGGCCCTGTGTGAATCCTCCACGCCTACAAAGGAGAGCAGACAGGTTACAGGCATTTGATTCTGTTTTGTTTTTTTCTCCTACTTGCAAATCTATACTCGAGTTGAATCTGAAAGCATGGCTCTGCGCTTTGGACAGGCACTGAGCTTTGATTCAGGCCTGCTGTTGGTAACGAGGTGACAACTCCTTACCCTGCCATCCCACCGCGGTGCATCACATGGCCTGGTCCCTGCTGACCAGGCGTGCCTCGATCACCACCTGAGCACAAAACAAGAGAAAGAAACGGTGGGGGGAGGAGAAAAGGCCTCTGTGTTGTCCTACCAGAAAAGCCAGATCGTCCCCAGTTTGATTTGCTTTCTCAGTAACGCTGTTAAGGTCTGTAGGCTTTAATTACCACCAGAAGTTCAGCAGCAGTAATTGATAGAAAGACCACGATCACACTGGGAAGCAGCAAGTGTACCTTGCCATCTCTCATGATCCCGTCCCATCATTCCTCCAGCCACACTGCCCTGCCATGAACGATCTTGATGCCCCTCTAACTTTCGACCATGATCTCCCCAGTCACGTCCATCTCTTAAAAAAATAAAAGAGAATCTTCTAGGTGCGTCCCTGATCGGTGTGCCAGCACAGGAGGCATTACTTGCAGAGACCCACGTGCTTAGTGTACAACAGAGTGGATTAGATGTGGAACAACCAACCAACCACTGCTCCCCTGTTGGTGTGCCTGCACTGAACCCAATGTTACGCATCTGGGACACATCCAGCCTGGCTGCTGACTTGCAGAGAAACCACCAGCACGTCTCAGCTCCCCCCCATTACCTCCATCTGCTGAGTCCTGAGTTCTAACTACGAGTGCTACTTCTGTGGGTGCCCCTGGGGCAGCTAACAGCACTGAGCCTCATCTGTAAAAGGGAAGCTGCTTACGGAGAACCCCTCTTCGCCCCTAAATTCCTCGTGCGTCCAGATGAGAGAGGCTCAAAGGAACCACAAGGAGAAAGGACTCACGCCGTGACAGCGCTCCTACCAGCACCCTCTGAAGGTTTACCCGCCGTGAGAACGAAGCACCAACACAATGCTTCCCTCGTGTGCTGAGCACTAACCGGGTTGGTGGGGGAATCCCTCTCCCTTCGTTCATCCTCCGCTCAGACCCATAACCGCCCCAACCATCGCGGGATTCCCGCGCGTGCCGCTCGGGGCCGTGCCGCTCATCGGGGTAATGCTGCAAGGCAAGGACAGTCACACGTCAGCTCATCCCCAGTCCTTCCCTAACAGCAACACCGCAGCTCCTCACAGGGTGCCGTGGCATTCAGCTCCAGAAAATAGAGCAGCAGCTGCTCCCTGCTTTGCTGGCTCCGCCGCTGTGCCTTCTGCAGTTCGCACCAGGCAGCGGTTTGGTCTCACAGCACCACTGGTGGGGGGGTGCAGACTTTTCTTTTAACAGAACATCTCTTTCTACACGTCATTCAGGTGAGTGTTAGAGAAGGGAACCCTCACAGTGCTGCCACATCACAAACCCGGGGTTTTGAACCAGGAATCTGTCACCACACGTCACCTTATGGCCAGAACAGCCAGCACAGCTCCCAGCACTCAGGACTCGCGCCTTAATCCCAGCAGCAGTTCCATTTAAGGACAGGTAACACCGTGCTGCTTCTGCTTTGGAATTTGTGTAAAATGAAGCCATGATGTGGATGTGACCCACCTGCCCATCTCTGTCTGGTATTCCTCTTGAACCTTCTCTTCTGGAAAGAAAGAAAGTTGCAGTTAAACCAACAGTCATAATCCATAAGCAGCACACGGACCTTTGTATTCAGAAGGCTGTAAGTCTGAGAATCCAGCATCTGTTCAGCTGTAACATACTGAAATGAGTTCTGATTTCATACAAAGAGACCAAAGGAAGACTTATAGCAATGAGTAATTCAGGTGACACTGAGTTATGGTCAGCAGGACAAGGCCAGACCTGGAGCCAAGGAGGAACAGAGTGAACCTACCAGCATCAGAAATGAGTTACAAGCAAAAGTAAAGAGGCACAGCTCCTCCCACAGCTCCTCCGAGGGCAACCCAAAGTGCCCACAGCTGTGAGAGCACTTCTGCAGGCTGTGGAGTTAAAGTCAGTGTAAGCTACGCTGTGAAGGAGTGGGGAAAGTGTTACAGCAAAAGGAAATCGTTACATCTTGGATTAATTAACTTGGTTTCATAACTCATACATCCATACACCTTGAGAACTGTAGGACTGCCCTCAGACAGCAGATCTGTGATACACACTGAGTGGTGCAGGCACAGGACTGCAAGTATGCATGAGATCAGATGCAAGAAAAGCACGAGGCTCATCTGTTTGTTTTCAGCACTATTCAAGCCACGAGTAAAGCAGAAAGACGCTGAGTTTCCCTCAGGGTATGGGAAGAAGAACCTCTGCCTTGTGCTGACCTGTCCAAGGAATGATCCTGGTAGCGGCCACGATCCCTGTGGTCGAAGTCATGGAAGCGGTCCTGGCGCACAAACTCGGAGTGGTATCTGTCATCCAGCGCCATCCGCTTCGCCTCTGGCCAGTATGGATCATCTCGCCTGTAAGAAAGGAAACCAATCTTGTACAGAGTTCTTTTCTTCATCTCTTGAGTGAGACCTTGAGATCAAACCACATTCAATCCCATTATTTTAATAGTTATTTTTGATTTGTAATTAAAGCCTCAGGACTGGAGTCGGCTGCAGCACCACCACAAAAAGCAGACCCTCAGCAGGGGCAGACATGAGAACAAGCACCTCCTGCTGGCACCCTGCTTTACAGCTTAGATTCCCAGAACCATCCGAAGTTGGAGAAGATCTTCAAGATGAAGTTCAACCATCAGCATAACCTAATGGCGCATCACTGAGCCACGCCCCCAGTGCCATTCCCACATGCCCTAAATACCCAGATGGATGGGGATCCCACCCTGGGCAGCCGTTCCAACACCTGACCACCCTCTCCGTGAAGACATTCTGCTTCATTTCCAATCTAAACCTCCTCCAGCACGGCCTGACACTGTTTTCTTGTATCCTCCAGAACAGTGTATCTGCAGGTGGACGTGGCCACATCCTGGTATCTCACTGCAGTTACCTGCCATCATCATAGGGCCTTCTCATTGCTGACCGCCGCTCCTGCTCGTAGCGCAGCTGCTCCTGCTGACGCCGCAGCTCCTCCCTCTCCCTCTGGATCCGTTCCTGCTCTCTCCTCCTCTCCTGCTCGATGTGCATCCTTTCCCTCTCCAATCTCTCTCTCTCCAAGCGCTCTCTGTCCAGACGCTGCCTTTGAAATTCGAGTCTCTCCCTCTCCCTCTGCAGCCTCTGCCTTTCATCCCGCTCATGCATGGCCTGAAGGCGCTGCTCTCTTTCTCGCCTTTCTCTCTCTCTAATTGAAAACAAGACATTTGTTTTTCAGTCAATTATCTCCAATCGAGGCTTTATTGCTTGTTTTGGGTGCTTCTGTTAGTTCACCTTTTAAAACAAGTTATGCTCTTCTCACTGTATGATTAAATATAAATGGTCTCTTCTCAACCAAACCAAAGCTGCTTAATAAGAGCCCAAAGGGAGGTAAGCATACTGCATCAGTAAGGCAGCACCTACTCCAAGTTGGGCTGAGAAAGTTTGGGTAGAGCAGAGTGTCCTAACACAGAGCTCTGACAAATGAAGCATTCAGGAGGTATTTCAAAACTTTCAGGCAGAACACAAACACTAGGAGCATTCAATCCTGCCTCAGCAGAACACGTGAGCTGGGAGTAGCCACAGAAGCGATCACCCACAACAGCCTCCTCAGAAGCACAAGCTTAGAGATGACCGCTTTCAGTAAAAAAAGCCTTCCCAACTCTGCACAATATCAGTGATCTGAGCTACAAATGTGGAAGGGCCCTCACAGAAGCCAGTGTGAAGCACAGCTGAGGACAGCAGAGCAGAGCCCCAGCACTCACCGGCGCCGCTCCGTCTCCCTGATCTCCCGCTCTCTCTGCCGCTGCCGCTCGCGCTCGCGCTGCTCTTTGATTTTATCAAATGATAAGATGTCCTGCTTCTCTTTGCTCTCAGACTTGCGGTCCTGGCTCTTTGTGCTCTGAGTTAAATCAAAGCAATACGTTTAGCTGAACGCTTCCAGCCACCGTTCCCAAGCAAAACACCCACTTTGTTTTGACTCGGAACACTCCCACCCTCCTGAAGCAGAACAACACGGGAATCACACACAAGTCAGGGAGAAGCACCCAGAATTTGGCTAGAATTTCCAGTGAGTGTAAGTGCATATAAATATTAGAGGCACATGACCTGCCTTGTGCTGGTGGTAAATGATACAGCACTGCAAAGGTCACCGGGCACCACACTCGAAATGGATCATCTTAACACCATTGTCAAATTACATTTCTACTTCCTCAGCTCCAGCAGCAGTGACTGCGAGGTGAGGCACCAGCATTTACCTCCACAGCACAATTAACTCCTTACTGCTTCCTAAAATACTGCTAAAGGTCAACTGTTCTCCACACTCGAGGCAGAAAACCCTGCAGTCACCACCCAGGTAAGGTTATTCACACCTGCTTTTACAGAGAAGTGGCCATGAAGTCGTGCTTACCCTCTCTTTGGAAGCAGATGTCTTCACACTAATAACGGGTTCTCCTTTAGATTTATCCATTACCACTGTCCTCTCAGTTCCTCGACTTGCTAGAAAGCAAAGGCACACAAGAATAAATAATACTCCAGATGTTCAAAAATTTTGCAAGAATTTTAAACCACCAGGATATTATTTTACCAGGGTTCTTAGATGACTTGTGCGAGAATGTATCCACGATTTAAACAGCTTGCCAACCACGTGCAAGCTGGGGGAAAGGGCACTG